CAACAAACCGACTTGCGCGATCAGTGGAACCACATTCCCCGCTCATTACTGGTACGATGAGGAGTGTGAGATGCTGAAATCTGCCGACAGAAAAACACCCGAAATTGTTAGCAGAGAGTTGATCGACTTACGGAGGGTTTCAAGACTCTTGTAGGAACAACCATGGCGACCTAGTGACCGATGTCCAGAACGTACTCAGATTATGGAGGGAACACTTTTTGACACTTTTGAATGGCAGATGCACTGAAAGAAATGGAGAAGACGAACCTGAGGTCCCAGTCGATGACGATGGAGTCGATATCCCAGCGCCTGACTATGATGAAAAGTTCCAAAGCTGCTTGAGCTGACGGCCTGTCAGCTGAGCTATTTAATTACGATGGCAAGGAGGTAACAAGGTGCATTCCCGACGACTGGAATTCAAGTGCGCTCTGCCCAATCCACAAGAAAGGCGGCCCCGCCATGCGTGCCAACTACCGCGGAATCAGCCTTCTAAGCATAGCTTGCAAGGTCTTATCGAATGTATTGTCTACCATAGACCAGGTATTCACAATACGCCAAATCTTGGAAGAGACCCGCGATCGGCACTCACCACCTATTTGTCGACTTTAAAGCCGCTTTCGACAGAACTAAAAGGAGTTTCCTATATGCCGCTATGTCTGAATTTGGCATCCCCTCAAAACTCATACGGCTGTGAAAAATGACGTTGAGCAATACCACCAGCTCTGCTCTGTTGCCGTTCGCCACCAGACGGGGTTTCAGACAGGACGACTCTCTTTCATGTGACTTCTTTAATCTGGTGTTGGAGAAAATGATAAGATCTGCAGAACTGAACCGCTCAAGAACAATTTACTACAAGAGCGTACAATTGCTGGCTTATGCCGATGACACTGACATTATCGGTAAGAAAAACCGCGAAGTCTGTTCTGGCTTTTCCAAGTTGGACAAGGAAGCAAAGCGAATGGGTCTCGTGGAAAACGAGGACAAGATGAAGTATCTCCTGTCTTCAAACAAACAATCAGCACATTTGCGCCTTGGCACCCATGTCACTTTTGACAGTAAGAGGGAATTCGTTTACTTGGTAGAGAATTTCGTTTACTTGGGAACCAGCATTAACACCGATAATAATGTCAGCATGGAAATCCAACGCAGAATCGCTCTTGCCAACAAGTACTGCTTTGGACTGAGTAGGCAATTCAGGAGTAAAGTCCTCTCTCGACGTACGAAAACCACACTATAAGTCACTCATCATGCCCGTGCTGGTATATGGCGAATTAAAATACAGCGGCTCAACTGGCTTGACCATGTCGTTCGAATGGACACCGACGCCCCACCTCTGAAAGTATTCTGGCTTCACTTGGCATTTCCAATTGGCGTCAGTTCGCCAAAATCGCTTTGGCGGTTACAGCGCCAAATAAGAAGAATAAGAAGAAGAGAATATATCTATAACCTTATCAGTCACACAGTGTTATAATCCCAACGAAATCCTTGATGGTGGTACCGGGAGGGGAACGGTACATGACGGTAGGAAGTTTAGTTTGGGTTAAAGTCTCACACTGACGGGGTTAGGCTTTCGATGCTTCCTCCTCGTAAAATAAACATGCTCAGTAAAAAGTTAACAATTTAAATCGACGAATAGTTTTATATCAACTTTTGTGAACATCTGTTTACTTGTTTTTTGTAAAACATATTTACCTCTACTGGTTACAATAAGTTTAAGCTATAATAAACAATTTTTTAGTAAGTTATTGATTTTGATTTTTTTCTGGCTACGCCCATGCCACCATATACTACAAAAATATAGCAAAGGTATTTATGGCAAACCTAGTCTATATATCAGCCTCGTCATAGGTATCATATCAAAGACATACAATTAGAAAAACTCTAGAGATAGATGTCGCCTCGCCAGAAGAAGTTAAAAATATGCACTACATACGCTACAGCGGAAATGGACGACAATCCATTTCTTTAAATGAAATTAATTGCTGCTATATGTATGTATGTACATACATATGTAGGCATATACTAAATGTGAGCAAACAACATTTTGCTTGCATAGTCTTCTGCCATGAGGCTACTAATCGTATCATTTCAACTCGTCAGCGTTCGCCATGCCAATTATTCTATTATTATAATTTTATTTATTTCATTATTGAATTAGTTTTAAATTTAAATATTGTTACTTCCTACTTGAATTAAAATGTTGAGTGTCTGGCACTGATTGATGGGCGAACAGAAGAAGGTCTGAGGAATGATAAAAATATAGTAAGGTAGAACCGCTGAGAGTCACTTTTAAAATTCTTGACGTTTCCAACAATTTAATTTTTAAATTTACTCACAAACTCACACACACATTTTCATTTTCAATTCAAGCAACAACAATTTCGAACAATTTCATTTATTTATTATCACTTTTATATGATTTTAAAATGTTGGCAAACTTCAAAAAAAAAATCATGGCCGACAAAATTAGAGAACGGTTCTACCTTGCTATATTTTTATCATGGTCTGAGGTATATACATACATACACACACGTATCTCTATGTTCTCTACAGATCCGTATGTACTATTTAAATTTAAAGAAATCAAAAAACTTTAAAAGTTTAGTTATTGGGGTAATTTATGTCGCTCTCAATAAATGCAATACTCTTATCAACCGTTATGTTAAATTACGGAGTTCTTACGATTTTGATTTTCTGGCGAATCCTAGCAGTCCTTCCAGAGGAGCTTTCCCCAAGATATCCAGATTCTCGAAGAAGTGGTCCCCAAGAAACTTGAGGCGTTTTCCTCGAAGTGCTGGACACTCGCAAAGGAAGTGCTGGACGGATTCTAACTCCTCCTCATCCCTGCAGCTTCTACAGAAATCATTATGCGGGGCTCCGAACCTGGCGGCCATGTGGCCAATGGTCCAGTGTCCCGTTAGTATTCCTGTGAGAAGCCTGACGTTTGACTTTGAAAGCCTTAATAGAC